TCTAATCAGATTCAATGATCTATGCTAAGCTACAGCTAAAAGTGCTACCACCAGACCCTGAGATTGGCTGAATGGATTCGAAAACAGTAAAACTCAACTGTTTAACTCTAGGGGAGTTGGAAAATGAGCCTATTTTCAAAAATAGTGGAGTGTTCCTTTAAAGGGGGTGTCTAATGCTAATCCATGCATTCTGACTTAGGCTATTTACACTGTTTAAAAGAGTTGGATTCTCATGGCTAAACATGGCCAAAGTTTCAAAAAACGAGTTGGACATATAACGAGTATTTCTGTGCCAAATACACTCCTTCAGTTTCGGAAAGTTTTTTTCGACTATGACCCTGTATGACGTCATAAAGGGCGGAATTCCTTGTATGGGCACTTCTCCCGGACAAGCGCCGTTTTATACAGTCTGTGAGAGCGCGCACATCAACCAGAGCGAAATTGGGGTTACTGAAGTCGTCGGCAGCGCTGCACAGGACTTGCTTGAGAAGGATTTATCATTTTGTTTTTAGACCACGAAATCAACAGTGTCATTAAAGAAGTGTTTTTGGTTATGAGTGTAAAATAACCTTTGTTCAGCTTCCCAAAGAACCCAGTTTGTTTCTCCAGGGCAGCAAGGAGTTGTGCGAATTTGTTTGTTTGTTCTTGGCATTTCGGTGACTAATGTTTTATAAACAAATTAAATAAAATTTAAGTCAATAAACTAAGTTTTTGTTCCTGTTTTATTTATGTCGATGTCACAGCTTGCAGACGATCTCAACGCAAAAGCTTTGCGTGCTCCTGACTCTTTAGCTCCGCCCACGGCACGCCTCCAGGAGCTTGACTGTTTTCAGAGAGAATGGTAAAGCTGTATCTGTCTTTTATAAATCTGATCAAAACTAAAGACTCTAAAGCGATATGAAGGATGCAGTATATACAAAATTAACATGAGATTGGCAGAAACTGTGTGTTATGTCCCCTTTAATATACTTCATACATTCTCCAGCTGTTACATGCTTTTTCATAAATGATCAACAAAAATAGAAATATAGGTTCATTGAGAATATAGGACATTTTCTATATTATATGTGATTTTAAAATACATATAGCCATTCTCATCTATATATTAATTTAAATATACTAATAAATAATCCTCTTCATGATCAGCCAATCTAAAGGAAAATACAAATATAGTATGTAACTTTTCTTTATGCACCAAATGGACCCAAAATATAAATATATTGCTTTTCAGAAGATTCATGTATATTGAAACATATGCTAATACACTAGTTCACCAGTAGAAACAGTCGGTGGCATGGGAGAGGCACAGCACAACTGTTACACTAGGGGCGCTGTTTACAAAACCATTATCTCAAAGCCTGCATGCACCAAAAACTGCACTTATCATAGATATGTATTTTTTTCTCTCTTTGCCTTCTTGTGCACTCCAGAGTGAACTAGTGTACAGGGTCAAGTTAATGATATGTGATCTGGGGCCTGAGGTGAATGAATATTTAATTCTGTTGATTTGAAGCTTTCTCTGCTGGGTCAGATAACAACCTCACCATGCACAAACATAAAATATGCACTATACAGACACAAGAGGAAAACACAGACGCACATTTGAAAGTGATCAAATGTGAAGAAGCGTTTTGTCACTCAACTAAATATTTTTCAGTAAATGAGATGACACTTAATTTATAGATATATGGATGGATGGATACTTTTGAGGAAATGTTGTAAAGCACCATACCCATTTAGGATTATCTAGTGAGATTAAAGGATTAGGGCATTAGAGGAAGTGTACACTTGTCAGTTCTATGACTGAGTGTATGCTCTTATATACTGTATGAACTCTCCACAAGACACTTCTCAGAATGGAGCATGAGGTGTAGGCTATATGCTCAGAGAGTGAGTTTAGGTGTTAAACAAAAGAGAGAGAAATTAGTTTTTTTTTTAAAGAGAGATTTAGAAAAATGAGAAATGAGGTGGGTTTTTGTTTTTGTTTGTTTTATTGACTTATGCAGGGTAAGGACTGGGATGGATTCACTTCTGTCTTCCTTATCAGCAGAAACATAAGCCTGCTGCTCCTGCTCTTATAGTCTCTCTATCTCTCTCTATGGTTATGCTTAGAGTCACTTCCAACAAAACCCAAATATATAGATAATTGTGCACAAAGATTAACATAAAATAAATCAAATCAAATAAAACACACACATGTAGGAATCCACACACACACACACACATATCAAACACACTTTTTCTATCTAGTTTTCAGAATTTAAACTGAACCCAGGCCTGCTGTCATCCTCTGAGCCGGTGCAAATCAATACAAAACATCATATCCCCTCACCATGTGAGACAAATTGGATTACACATGCCAAAAAAAAAAAGTAAAATACTGCAAAGACCTATTTTACATATAAACAAACTTAAATAGACACGCCTCATGATAAATGAAACGTGACACACTTCATCATATGAAACCAACAGGAATGCAGTAATGTGAATGTATCAGTTTTCTTGTGTGTTGGAGAGAAATGCAGAGCTGACGTCATCGTGCACAGCATTATCTACATATTGGTATATAAAATATCCTTTTCACTTATAAAGCCACAAATCAGACAGAGAAGAGGTTTCAATACCACTCTTCAGAACTGATACACACATGCAAAAAAAATAAAAAAATTATATATATATAAAAATTCCTAGCAGTCAAGAGATGCTCCAAACACACATGAGATCATGCCACATTAATTCATAGACACCTTCTTAAATTAATTAATGATACTGAGGGAAGAAAACAGCATATTTATTAGATACTGAATTTTTCTTTTTAAAAAAATAAAATAAAATAATATTCCTTTCCTAATATTGTTTTAATAGTATATATTATTTGCTCTGAATTGCTCTGATAGCTGAGCATGCAATTAAAATTTCAGAAAATAAATACTGTATCTCAACTCATACATGCTAACACACACACACACACACACACACACTGATGTACACACATAAATACACACAAAACAACCTTGCTAACTCTCTACAACCTCACTACAGTCTCAAATGAAATAAAAAAAAACATATTTCTTTGAAATGTTGAAGTATTACTCTATGCTCTGTCTGTGCTGAGGATTGCTGTGTCTGGCTTATGTCTCTAGCTGTGCCTTCTGCGCATAATCATGCACTCTTTTAGATGTGGAGGACCTATGTGTGTCTGTGTCTGTGTGTAAAAGAAAGGAAAGCATTTTTGCCTATTTAATTTCTGGAGTTGATCCTCAGTTTGAAGGAAATGCGCCCTGCAAACTTGTCTCGTTCACTGCCCTCTGGAATGTTGTTAGCGTTGATTCTGCACTCCACGTTGACGTCCTCATTCATGGTGATGTTGAGGAACTTAATGGCCACTAAAGGCTGAGAGTAGTTCACCTGCAGCAGAAGAAGAGTGAGATACTGTAGGAAGATTTTGTAAGAACAAGGCTGTTTTATTAAAGGTGGCCTAATAAAAGCTGTTTTACATTATTGGAGACTTTGTTTACTACATTTCTACAATGGTAACGGGCAACTTTTTCTCTCCCTTTTCTGTGATGCCCCATCCACGCCACTAGGTGTCAGTATCAGCCAAGTATCATATCAGCACAACATAAAATACTGATTGCACCTTTAAAGTCAGCATGAAACGTAAAATGAGAGGGTCTTTCCTTCCATATTGTGACATACATCTGAGTGAAACAGATTATTGGAAAAGAAAAAAAGTAGGATGGGGACGGGTTCTATCCATCAGTTGTTGATTGGATGGAGGCAGATCTGAATGCAGTCGACATGTCACCAGAGAGAAGTCTGCCATTTCAGTGGAAGATCAATTTATGACATTTTTATGAATAATTAAAAATTGTAA